TTTGGTTTTTATATCTGCTCCAGCTTTGGCCAAACATGTCCAGGTTTAATTTGTCTACAAAGCGTGATGGGAATAAAAAAAAAAACAAACAAACAAAAAAAAGTCTGCTCTCCATTGTTTACTTTCCTGATTTCTATTTCACTGGTGACATCACCAGCGCTAACCCAGCATGATGGTATCACCAGACATGAAGCAATGGGGGTTCAGAGGCCACACAGCTTGCTGGCGGGGATCAGACCCAGATTTTCTTTTACCAATGAGAAGCGGGCCAAACGCAGAATGTTAGCTGGTCGACTCGTGTTTCAAAAACCTGCGTTAACCTGCTTATTTCAATAGGAAAGGTGCTCTAGAGTCTCTTTAGCTGGAGATGTTTTTAAATACCTTTCTGTAAAGTCAAACCAAACATTTGCTTTCAAAGATGTCATGACAACCGGTTCTGTGTAATTAGATAATTTTTGATTCTTTATCCAAGGCTCTACTGAGTCCTTATGAAATGTTTATTTAGAAAAGAAAAGGAAAACATACCCTGGCTAACTTATGTATGCAATGAACATAAACAGTTTCTCTAAGGGGATTTGGCTGCTGTGTAAAGATAAATCCCACACCCTAGTTCATAGTGGCTACCAGCATTTACATTCAAATGAGAAGGTGGAATTGGTAGCTTAAAAAAAACACTATTATTCCAGACCAGCTCTCCTTGGTGTGCTCTGTGAAGCAATTAATAACATGATGTAAGAGGCAAGTGCTAAAACACTACAAGTTTTAATCCACCTCCCATTTATTTGTCGTCCTTCTGCTCTTTGGAAGGTCTCGTTGCACACAGATCCACTTACAGCGTCAGCACTCGTGACCTTGCTGCAACTCCAAGTAGATCGGTCACCTCCCGACTCAAAGCCGGTCAATGTGAATCCATAGATAAACTGCTTCTAGAATAAGTAATATTTGATTTAGACACCCACTAACACACACAGGCAGACAGCTGGGCTTTGAGGCAACTCATGGCTCAGTCAGCATCATCTTTTCAGGCGAGGTGTTTGATGCATACTAGGCTTTTATTTCAATTAAAACAATTATAAAATAAAAAATACCTTTGTAAATGCCCATATCAAATAAAAAAAATCGGTCCAGCACACAACTGGAATTCAAATTATGATTGCTCTGTCTGCAGGAATTCTCCCACAATGCATCATCATTCAGAAGGTAGCTGGCCTGTCCTGGGCTATAACACGTCCTTGTGTCTTCTGCTTGAAGTCATGCACACACACAATCCTCTCAAACATGTTCCCCCAGACTACTAAACCTAACCTTTACACAATTTTGGACATCAAAACATTGGATGTGATTTACTTCTCATTATGTGATGCACCTAGAATTTAGATTATAAATAAGCATATGACTTTTAACTCAGAACTCTCAAATCACAGGAACCCAAACTGTTTTTCTAAGCAGTCCGAGGCTAAAATCCTTTTTTTTCGGCTCCATTTTTATTCATGTCATAAAACCTGTCTCTTTCTCACTAGATGTGGTTAAATCGCCATATAAATTTTCCTTGTGTTAAACATTTGAAACAGCCTCACAAATCTTTGAATGATTGAACTATTTTTGATATGTCGTTTTTATTCTGAGGTTGAACATGTAGTAAATGTGGAAGCTCTTTGTTTTATTATTAAGATGAGAACATTATTGCAAAGACAGCACATGTTTGTGCAATTACAAGATTTTTTTTCCTTTTGTATATTTTTAAATTAATAAAACAAAGAGAGTCAAGGCTCTTTTTGTTTTATGCTGAACAGATTTTTCTCCAATAGAATTCACTTAGACTTAAAATGGTGGTGACAGCACTGTGAGGATATAGATTAAAGTAGATGTGTCTATTTGTGTTGAGTTAAAATGATCACTAACATTGATGTCTATGATGATTTGCATAATAAATGTAAATCAGCTTAATGAAGAGGCTGTCATTTTAGTTCTGGAAAACTGAATCAGTCTCAGTTTAAAAATGGCTGAGAAGTCAAATTTAGTGTTTTGACCTTTTTCTAGTTCTGTCTGTTCCTTTCTCTCGGTCTCCCCCTTTCCTCCCCCTCCTTCCCGCTCAGCCCCAGCTTCTCTAACACCAATTACACTGTGTCAAATCCATGCATGTCAGCTTCCAGATCCCTAATCATCCCTTCTCTTTCATCTGTAATCCTTTGTTCCATCCTCCTACCCCACTTTTTCACTCACTGCTAACCTCTCCTCTCCTCTTCGTGCTTCACACAACCCCACCCCTCCATCTGCTTTCGGTACCAAAGCCATCCTCTTCGACTTTGTACTCTTTTCGTTTATCTCCAGCATACCTGGTGCTCTTCCTTTGATTTTCTTATTCAATTTCGTATTTCAATTTTACAAGTCTCAGGGAGACTTTGCACGTTTTAGAAATGCCCTTACATTTGTTTTCCAGTCGAAATGGCAGTTAAAGTTTTATTAGGTGTGAAATTGGAAATCTGCTGTCTTTTAAATGTCTTGGGCATTGTTGCTATTCTCACTTCTCCCTCTCAGGAATATATGAGAAAAATATGAACGAAATATGTGCCTTTTGTGTAGCATTAATCTGCTATTTTTGTTGCAGATTTTGTTGCATTTAGTATAATAAACTTTTTGTTGCATTTACTTTATAATTACCTCCGCCAAGTAGGTTTTGTTTTTAGGAGAGGTTGAGTGTTTGTCTGTCTGTTAATAGACAGATTTTAATTATTTTTTAAATCAGAATATACTGAAACACTAACTACATGTCAGAAGACAATCCATTAACATTTGAAAGTGCAGAGGAAAATATCATCCTACTACATTATCCACACTGACAAATAGGGCATCTGTAATACTCTCACAGGTCTGTTTAAAGCACAGATAGCATTATAAGAAACAAGCACCATGACCACGCAGGTCCGACATACTGTTGTAGAGAAGTTTAAAGCCTGATTAGGATACAAAAAAAGTTCCCTCAAAGGTTAAAAATTCCAAGGAGCACTGTGTAAGAGATAATATTGAAAGGCAAGAAGTATCAGACCGTTGCAAATCTATGAAGACTCTGCCGTCCCTATCAATTTTCAGCTAAAACAAGGAGAAGACCGATTAGAGATGTAGCCAAGAGGCTCATGATCACTTTGGGTAAAGTGCAGAGATCTACAGCTGAGGAGTGAGACTCTGTCCATAGGAAAACAATCAGTCGTATACAGCACAAATCTGGCCTTTATGGAAGAAAACAATTACTTAAAAAATCTTGTTTAAAGTTTGCTGCAAGTCACCTGGTTGACACAGCAAACATGTGGAAAAAGGTGACTTGTCAGATGAAACTGAAATCAAACTTTTTGGCAAAAAAGCAAAATATTATGTTCTGCGTAAAAGCAACATAGCTCATCACGTTGAACACACCATCCCCACTGTTAAACACAATGGTGGTAGCATCATGGTTTGGGCTCCAGCAGGGAAAGGGAAGATGGGTTAAATTGATGGGAAGATGGATGGAACCAAATACAGGACCTTTCTGGAAGAAAACCTTTTGGAGTCTGCAAAAGACGTGAGACTGGGACGATGGTCGAAAACATAAAGCAAAATCTAGAGTGGAATGGTTCACAAATAAAGATATCCAGGTGTTAGAATGGCCAAGTCAAAGTCCAGACCTTAATCTAATTGAGAATCTGTAGAAGGAACTGAATTAATATTGCTCACTCAATTATTCAGGTTTTTATTTAAGAAAGTTTAAAAAGTCCATTGAATTTCGTTCCACTTCATGATTGTGTCCGACTTGTTTATTCTTCAGAAATTGTTTTTTTTATATAAATATATAATATATATATATATATATATATATATATATATATATTGAGAGAGGCTTACTGCAAGCATGTATTTTTATAGTTGCATAATCTATTCATTTTTGATAACTTGACTAACCGAAATGGTATTATAAAGACTATTATTGCTTAACATGGAGGTAGGTTGTACAGACCTTGACATTTCTTTGATAAACCATGGAAATAAATGCATCAGGGTTGCAGTGGGGCTGGTGCATATCTCCAGCAGTCTACGAGCGAAATATTGTGTTGGTTTTTTATTTTATACATTCTTTTCCATTATTTTGTCAGTCATTTTTTTAATTCAAGAAATAGATCTGTTTCCAGATTAAACAGATTGTTTTCATCATTCTGTTTTAGTTATCCTGTGTTAACTTAAAAAACAAACAAAAAACATGAATTAAATTATCATCAGACAAAGACCTTTTCCTCTCCATCCAAGTGAAATAACAGAGTTCAACCAAACTCCATAGTATTCAAGCTGATTGTTTTTTTTATTTCTAGATTAGATTATGCAAAATGTGGCGATGATTCCTGGAAAGGCTGCCCGCCGCCATGTCCCTTGCAGAAGAGACGCATATGGGAAGGTGTAATTGTTGTGACTGTAGCAGCAGGGAAGCAAAGAGCTGGAGAGGGAGCCAGGAGGAGGGAGATAGGGGGAGGGGTTTGTTTATTTCCTTTTTTCTAAAATGATAACTGTGCCCCCAGAGTCCACTGGAGAAAAAAAAAAAAAGAGGAAAACACACAAAGGTAGTCGGATGTAGGGAGACGGAGACAGATGACTGAGAGCAGGGGACAATGGGACGCAGCATCAGCAGCAGCAGAGACTCCCAAAAGCGACGCGTTGGAGAAGGGAGGGACGGACAGACACACGGAGACACAGAGGCAGCGCGTGTGCCGGTCCGCCGCTCATCGCCCAAACAATGAATGTGCTGTGGTCGCTGCCGGCAACACACCGTAGCCAGAGGGGTGCGCACTGAGAGAGAATGGCAGAGGCAGTGATTCAGAGGGGGGGGTTAAATGAAAATAGGAAAGATGGTGTCCTCCTGTAGATAGCGTGTGCCTTTGTACATGTTTGTTGTGTTTGGCTGATCATGTGTGTCTCTGTGTGGCTGATGTGCATTAGCGGGAAACTGTCTGACACCATGATCTTCTGTAACCATTTAGGTGAATACAAGAAGGATGAGCTGCTGGAGGCTGCAAGGTGAGTACCAGACCCTGCATGCTCTTTGTTTTCACTTTGCTCCCTTCTTCTGCTTTTTTTTTATGTATTTGCCCACTTTGTTGCATCATTACATCTTTTGTTTTTATTCTAATCTCCATCCTTCTTTAATCTCTCTCAGCTACCTTACAGTAGTCTTCATTTCCTGTTTCCTTTTTTTTTTCCCTCCCTTTGTTTATAATATTTTCATCCACCTCATTGCCTGCACAAGCACACTCAGCTCCCACACCAGTCCTGTATTTTCAGATTGAGAGAACCCAGCACTTGTGGGCCGGCAACACTTGTGCGTTTTAAAGGCGTGTTATGGTTGCAGGCAGTTTATGTGGGCTGTGTGTTTTGTGTTTTTTTTTATCATATTTTTGTGCCTGGCTCTCACATTTAGTAGTGGAAAAGCGCCTGATTTTTGAATAGTGTGTGGGTGGCAGGGCGCTTGATGCCTCAACAGACCCCCCCTGCCCACTCTTCCCTCCTCCACTGCCCTCCATCTCTTCCAGCTTAATACACAAACATATCAGGAAGCAGCTGGTTTAGTGAGCAGGTACCCCAGTGTATTAGGGGTCAGAGGGCTGTTTATGTGTAAACCCAGCATGGCCGCCTGACAGCTGAGCCCGTGACTGCCTCATCACCCCGTCATTAGGAGGAATTTACTTTGATCTTAGGGTCATGGTCAGTCATTTACCATGGTACCTTGGCCTGCAGAATGTTGTTCCTATAGTTTATGCAAATATCAGTTTATGGTCTAGATCAGGGCTTTAGTTGCTGTTTGTGAGAAATTATGCATATTGTGAGAGGAAGGGACAAATACTCCTTGAATTAGATGGCTGATGCAGGGCTCCTGTGCTGTCTGAAAAGCATGAAGCTTATATTTAATATTTTCCAGGGTTGGGTGAATGTAAACATTTTTATTAAAATGTAGGATTAAAAACTTTAATCCTAATCTTGTCTGGTGGGTCCTTTCTTCATTGTGTCTTCCTTCCTTCCTTCCTTCCTTCCTTCCTTCCTTCCTTCCTTCCTTCCTTCCTTCCTTCCTTCCTTCCTTCCTTCCTTCCTTCCTTCCTTCCTTCCTTCCTTCCTTCCTTCCTTCCTTCCTTCCTTCCTTCCTTCCTTCCCACGCTGTCTTTTCATGAAGAGGGCATCATCTCACTTCTCCTTGTGGCAGACTGAATAAACAGCCAACATGCCTCTAGAGGAAATATATATATATATTTTTTTAAGTTTCTCTTATTGGTTCTGAAAATAGGCCTGTTTTCTTCCTTCCTATTAGAATGTAGCTTTTTTCTTTAGGCAATAGTAAAAGTTTTCTCCTCGCTGGTTAGCTGTCTAGCCTGGTCAAGTTGAATAATTACAAAGTTTGGTCTCCAGGACATTTCTATGATCAGGGAGCCATCTTTGTGCAGAGATCTTATTCAAATAAATGTATTTTCACAATCACAATATTGATACTTAAATTGAAACTAAATGATAATTTTAAAATTTGATTTTAATGACACTAAACAAGAATGCTAACCAACTAGGCCCTCTGTGAAATTCGGAAGTTAAAGGAGAATTAATCCTCTAAAGGCTGTGAAAGGATTCAATGTCTATCCATAACAGTTTCAAACATGATTAGTAGCTCCATATGCCAAGAAAAAAGAAAAAAACTTAAAAGAAAAGATTGGGAGAGAAACCAGCAGGAAGTAACTCCAGGTTATCGGCTTTTGCTCATCAGCTTTGCTCCAACCAAACTGCAGCAATAAAACAGATAAAGTGACTTTTTACTTTGGATAGGAATCCAATCATTCTGCCTTTCCTGTCTTTTCCTCTCTCAGATACCTTTCTCTCTTTGCTCCAAGACGTTAATCATTGTGATTTCATCAAGAGGCAATCATGTTTGTGGCACATTACACAAACATGTAGTCTTTTGTTGTGTCTTTTGCTAAATTTCTGCTGTTCTATTTATTTCTGTATGTAATGTGTTCTTGGTTCTTTAATATTTTCAGGAGTGGAAACGAGGAGAAGCTAATGGCCCTGCTTACGCCGCTCAACGTCAACTGTCACGCGAGTGATGGGCGCAAGGTAAGAGCCAAGGAGCATGCACAGAGAGACTATGAAGCTTATAACAAGCTCATCTCTGCCGTCTGTGTGACCGCATATTTCCCGACGGTCATTAGGGTTCCCATACAAGTTAACAACCTCTTTATTTTTTTATTTTTTTGTTGTTAGAAAAGTTGGAAAAGAAAAACATGCTGGTATGACAGCTGTGTGTCTATTTGAAATAATCTTAGCATTCACCAACAGGCATTAGTGTCCTTTCTTGGCTGTCAGTCATTTAAATGAACAGATAGAAACATTGAACGTTTACAGCATAAATTATCGCTCATGCTGAACAATAATGATGCATCGCAGCAAACAGAAACCTGTCAGTCTCTTGGAAACAAGATTGTTTTTTTAAATATCTTTTTTTCCCTTCAGACACATTATACATTTCTGTTACTTGTAATGCTGTTCCTGTTTGTGTTTTAATATTGTTTTAGTAAAGTTAACTTCATAATACTTAGAGCTGGTAGCCGTGGTATACAGTGATGATAAAAATAAAGCACACACTTTGAAAATCAATATTCATCCATCAGGACACCTACAGTTTGTTTGTTTTGTTTTTTTCCAGTGCAGGTTTGCTCTAAGTTTATGACCAAACGGACAAGCTGTGGTTTAGAAACCAAACTGACCTCATGTTTCACCAGATTGTCTGATCATATCGCGCAGAGACCGGAAGCAGCCTAGTTGCTTTTTCTATTGCTCCATTCATCTCAGATCGTTAAGGAAGAAAAATATTTCATGGCTGTCATAAAGTAATTTCTGTCTTTTTTTTATCTTTGCCCACCATGCTTAATAGTAGATATGAGGCGTGTGATCCTTTTTCTCTTTGTCTTTTGGGTTATTCAGATAAAAATCTTGCAAATCGGTAAAAGCAGCGCTGTATTTTGACAAAGACAGTCAAGCATGCAGCTGACATTGATAATAGGGGTGTGAGAAATAATCGTTTTGGCGATATATCGTGTTATCCGGCTGCCCAATTTAGAACCAGAATCAGAAATACTTTAACAATCCCAGAGGGAAATTACTTAAATTACTTTAATATCAAGATTTAATATCAATCCTTCACTTACTAGATATGAAACAGGGTTACCTAAAACAATGAGGGGAAAATGGGCTTCCTCTGCACCGCCACTCTGGCAGAAAGCGCTGTGGAGCCCTGTTGCTGTGCGATGCGGTTCCAAATCCGTATTTGAGGCGGTCACAGTGGAAGACGTGGACCGACTCAAACCTCAAACAACATGGATACCAAAATAACTAAATAATCAATATCTTCTGATGAACATAACATCACTTGCTTTTTTAATCTATTCATTTGATTTTGATAGCTGGGGAAAATATTGCAATATACACTATATTGCCAAAAGTATTTGCTCACCTGCCTTGACTCACATATGAGCTTAAGTGACATCCCGTTCCTAATCCATAGGGTTCAATATGACGTCGGTCCACCCTTTGCAGCTAGAACAGCTTCAACTCTTCTGGGAAGGCTGTCCACAAGGTTTAGGAGTGTGTTTATGGGAATTTTTGACCATTCTTCCAGAAGCGCATTTGTGAGGTCGCACACTGATGTTGGACGAGAAGGCCTGGCTCTCAGTCTCCGCTCTAATTCATCCCAAAGGTGTTCTATCGGGTTGAGGTCAGGACTCTGTGCAGGCCAGTCAAGTTCATCCACACCAGACTCTGTCATCCATGTCTTTATGGACCTTGCTTTGTGCACTGGTGCACAGTCATGTTGGAAGAGGAAGGGGCCAGCTCCAAACTGTTCCCACAAAGTTGGGAGCATGGAATTGTCCAAAATGTCTTGGTATGCTGAAGCATTCAGAGTTCCTTTCACTGGAACTAAGGGGCCAAGCCCAGCTCCTGAAAAACAACCCCACACCATAATCCCCCCTCCAACAAACTTTACACTTGGCACAATGCAGTCAGACAAGTACCGTTCTCCTGGCAACCGCCAAACCCAGACCCGTCCATCAGATTGCCAGATGGAGAAGCGCGATTCGTCACTCCAGAGAACGCGTCTCCACTGCTCTAGAGTCCAGTGGCGGCGTGCTTTACACCACCGCATCCGACGCTTTGCATTGCACTTGGTGATGTATGGCTTGGATGCAGCTGCTCGACCATGGAAACCCATTCCATGAAGCTCTCTGCGCACTGTTCTTGAGCTAATCTGAAGGCCACATGAAGTTTGGAGGTCTGTAGTGATTGACTCTGCAGAAAGTTGGCGACCTCTTCGCACTATGCGCGTCAGCATCCGCTGACCCCGCTCCGTCAGTTTACGTGGCCTACCACTTCGTGGCTGAGTTGCTGTCGTTCCCAAACACTTCCATTTTCTTATAATACAGCTGACAGTTGACTGTGGAATATTTAGGAGCGAGGAAATTTCACGACTGGATTTGTTGCACAGGTGGCATCCTATCACAGTTCCACGCTGGAATTCACTGAGCTCCTGAGAGCGACCCATTCTTTCACAAATGTTTGTAAAAACAGTCTGCATGCCTAGGTGCTTGAATTTATACACCTGTGGCCATGGAAGTGATTGGAACACCTGATTCCAATAATTTGGATGGGTGAGCAAATACTTTTGGCAATATAGTGTATAGTGACATTGCAATATGGTGATAATATCGTATTGTGACACGTATCAAACACCCATGCCAATAATCACCCCTAATTAATAAAGTTGGAAATGAAGAAAAAACTAAGTTGTGCTGCTGTGTTGTATTAAAGAAATATATTCTCCATTAACCATTCCAACTAAGAAATACTTTTTTTAAATGATTTTCTAGTTTTGCTTTTTTGAACCAACATGTTGAGACTCCAAGAGCCTCAGGTGAGGCCTTTGTTCTGCCTTCTGCAACGTCTCTTAACGTTGTAAAATCTGACAGAGTTAAATTTGCAATAATGTCGACTCAGAGGAATGCTGGCAGCTGCCCTAAATGTGAGCCTCTTCTCAATATGTTTTTTCATTCTATTGTTATTTTAAAATGATCTTTAAACTCTGTCCAGATTGAAAGACATCTACTCTACAGTTTTCTCTTCTGTTATTGCTGCTGGCTTTTTATCTGGGCATTAGGGATGGAACGGTTTATGAAAACCGTCCGAACCGTTCGGTTCGACTGTCTCGGTTCGGTTCGCGTGTGTTTCGTTTGCTTCATGCCCTGCTCCTTTTTCTCATAGGCGAAGCGATTACACTCCAGAGCAGAAGGTGGCGGTACTGCGACCAACGCCAACCACCAGTAGTAAACAAGAAGAAGAAGCGAAGCAGCGTAGCCGGGTGTAGCAGAAAAAAATCAGTTGTTGTGGAAAATTGTGTGGGTGTGGTGAGTGGGAAAGAATAGGAGTTGGAAGACGCGCCAGCAGCACTTTATAGGTCTGCTGTATGGGACCGCTTTGCATTTAGAGTGACCTACGATGACGGCGGAAAGAAAGTTGTGGATAAAAGTGCAACAGTGTGCAAGCATTGTGCAACACGTTTTGTTTATGCTAACAGCAACATGACCAACATGTCATGCTAACCCCGAAATCCCACATACTCCGTCAGCGCTCCGCCCCGCTGCGCTCCAGACCGCCTGCACAAAGCAAAGCCTACAGCCTCCGCTGTGGCTCCCGTCCGCTCATCTCTGAGTTCCTTGGAGATCGTAGAGGGCATGCGCAAGATGATTAAATTCAAAGCAGCAAAACATGCGGAAATGATCCAGGGTTTCCACGGATCATTAAAAATAATTACAATTCATTATTTTATTTTTTTTTTCATTAATTTCATAAATTTTTATTTTTTCATAAATTTTTATTAATTTTTTTATTTTTCGGTGTAACAATAAACATATACCGAACCGAAAACCGTGACCATGAAACCGTGAACCGAACCGAACCATGGATTTTGTGAACCGTTCCACCCCTACTGGGTATTGTGTTAACAAAGGTGGTCAAACTAGCTAAAGATCAGCTGTTAAACATTATATTATGAGCAGCAGCATCAATCCAGGTTAAAGCACTTTTACTTAAATTGTCTCCGATTCACAACAAATTATATAATTTGAGTGAAAATGAATACCCCAAAAATGTATTTTTTATGTTGATTGTCTTCGTTTCCAATGGAAATGACAGTTCCAGGTATTTTCCATCAGACATCTACCTTTACCTCCCAGGTATAAACATAGGAAGGACAAGTCTATAAAATAAGCACATAAAAGTAAAACTATGGCAGGTTTTTTTGCTGAATGGGGAAGATTCAGAGTAGAATGAATGAGGAAGAGGAAATGCTTCTGATGGGCTGTGAAGCAGAAAGGATCCTAGGGTAAGACTTCAGGGCATGAGGTAAAGCCAGGTTTGCTAAATAAGATTATAGGTACAACATGAGTACAGCAACGTTTGGAGCAAAGCTCTGTTATCATTCTGGGACTCCAGCATCAACAGGGAGTCTTGAGCCTTGGGTTTAGTTCTTCTGCACTACAGCAGCACGTCTGGCTTATGACTGATTAGTCCCCTGGATGACAGAGTGGAAGGAAAAGCAGACAGCTCTCTGGTTTTTGTGGCTTCTGGCTTTAGTTGGCCCGGTCCCTGTAGTCCTCCACATCATTGCTTTCCAAGCTGACAGAAATATAAAACCCAGGGAGTCTGTTGCTTTTTCCCTTATCTTGACAGCAGAGTGACAGAGAAGCTGAACCCGGCAGAGATGATTATCCAAACTGTTTCAAAATTCCCTGTGCGCTCCAGTCGCCGTCCCTTATGGTGTTAAACGGTGTTGTTAAAATCATCTAAACGCCAGTTTTGTTCAAACAAGGTATATCTAACTTTCACCTCCATAATCAGATTCAGACTTTTTCTAAAGATTACTCTAGTTTATTGGACACTGAAGCGGCTTTCGCCCAGTTTTATAGTTGCTATGAGAACTGCAGGGGCAATCTGGGACCCAAAGGGAGCATTTTAGCCTTTACTCTCGGTAGCTGTCATATAAATGCCACAGAAGCTTTGAGGAG